ACCAAGATATGTTTCTATGCAGTTCACCTCAGATTGACCTGGGACACTGCCTATCAAAGACAAGGTACAAAAGTTTGTCCTGGAACTGTCTAGAATCTTCACATTTACAATCAGTCCTTGAGGGAGAAATCTTTTTCTCTCCCTTTTTAAAATATTTTCCTCTAGTTTTTCTTGTTAATATATGTTGTCTGAGCATAGCTGACTGTGTAAACTGATTTTAAGAGAAAGGAAAACATTCCTTTGTCAGTAGTTAGGAGCAGTTTGCTGTAACACAGTTAACACTTCTACCAGGAGGTAGAAGTGGATTCTACTTCTACTAGGAGGACCCGGGTAACTATAGACCAGTCAGCCTCACCTCCATTCCTGGGAAAGTGATGGAACACCTTATCCTTGGTGCCATCTTAAGGCATACCAAGGATAAGAGGGTTATGAGGGGCAGTCAACATGGCTTCACCAAGGGGAAGTCATGCTTGACCAATCTCATAGCCTTTTATGAGGAAATAACACAGTGGATGGATGATGGCAGAGCGGTGGATTTGGTCTACCTTGACTTCAGCAAAGCGTTTGACACAGTCTCCCACAGCATCCTCGCAGCTAAATTGAGGAAGTGTGGTCTGGATGATCGGGTAGTGAGGCGGACTGTGAACTGGCTGAAGGAGAGAAGCCAGAGAGTTGTAGTCTATGGGACGGAATCTGGTTGGAGGCCTGTATCTAGTGGAGTGCCTCAAGGGTCGGTACTGGGACCAGTATTATTTAATATATTCATCAATGATTTAGATGAGGGAATTGAGTGTACTATCGGCAGACCTTGTGGCCAAGAAGGCCAATGGCATCCTGGGGTGTATTAGAAGGGGGGTGGTTAGTAGGTCGAGAGAGGTCCTCCTTCCCCTCTACTCTGCCCTGGTGAGACCTCATCTGGAATATTGTGTCCAGTTCTGGGCCCCTCACTTTAAGAAGGACAGTGACCTGCTGGAGAGAGTCCAGCGCAGGGCAACTAAGATGATTAAGGGAGTGGAGCATCTCCCTTATGAGGAAAGACTGAGGGAGCTGGGTCTCTATAGTTTGGAGAAGAGGAGATTGAGGAGTGACCTTATTAGTGTATATAAATAGATAAAGGGGGAGTGTCACGAGGATGGAGCCAGGCTCTTCTCAGTGGCAAACAATGATAGGACAAGGGGTAATGGGTACAAACTGGAACACAAGAGGTTCCACTTAAACTTGAGAAGAAACTTCTTCTCAGTGAGGGTGACAGAACACTGGAACAGGCTGCCCAGGGAGGTTGTGGAGTCTCCTTCTCTGGAGACATTCAAAACCCGCCTAGACATGTTCCTGTGTAACCTTATCTAGGTGTTCCTGCTCCGGCAGGGGGATTGGGCTAGATGATCTTTTGAGGTCCCTTCCAATCTCTAACATACTGTGATACTGTGATACCATCGAAGAAGTGACTAAAGGCAAAATGTAGGTTTATAACCCGGATATTTTGCTCCTATGATAAGATTATATAGAAATGAAATTTGTGGGGAGCTGTAATAGTAATACCAGCTGATACAGAACAGAGAATTCTTGTTGGGCAGACACTATATGATGTGATGGAGACACAAAAATAAAATAGACTACAGCACTGTCTTGACCCAGCACTGGAGAGACCACACCTGAAGAAGTATTGTGCCTTGTTTTGGGCTCCCCAAGACAAGAGGAGTATGGAGCTATTGGAGACAGTCCAGTGATGGGCCACAAAGATTATTAAAAGACTGAAGAATTTCCTTAAGGAGTCAAGGGTAAGAAAGCTGGGACTGTTCAGCCTGGAGATGGATCAGGGGGAATCTCATCAATGCGTACAAGTGCCTGAAGACAGAACCAGGCTCCTTACAGTGGTGCCTAATGAAAAAAGAGATGCAATGAGCACAAACTGAAAAACGGGATGTTTCCTCTGAACATCAGGAAACACATTTGCACTGTGAGGGTGACTGAGCATTGACACAGGTTACTCAGGGAGGTTCTAGAGTCTCCATCCTTGGTAATATTCAGAATCTGAAATGGTCCTGGTAAAGCAGCTGTAGGTGGCCCTGCTTGAGCAGGTGGTTTGGACCACATGAGCTCTGAAGGTCTCTTTCAACCTCAACCGTCCTATGATTCTGTGGTTCTGTTTTTTTTTTATTTTTGCTATATTTTTAGCTTTTTTTTTTTTTTTCACAACCTTTCTAGGAGGACTGAGCTCAAATCCTCTTTAAACCAGAGTTGATCAACTGTAGTAGTTCAGAGGTAAGATATAGACATGGAAGAAAATTTAAAAGTCTGGTCTCAAGGAATGCATGTTTCTCAGCTAGTACATGTACTGGGTGCAATTACAGCTCCCAAAAATGGGAATATAGAATTCCAGTATATTTGCAAAACCTTTTATTTAAAACTGTTATGCCAAGAGGTGCCAAAGACCTTAAAAACTGCAAAGCTAGGAGATATATAAAATAATACATATTTTCATTTGCAAGAAATTTATATAAAACTTTATATTTGTGAGATGATTATAAAATAATTATTCTGTTACTGAACTTAAGTTGGAACTTACTCAGCTGCAGCTGAACATATGTCTATGAATACACATACCAGTGAAGGAACTGGAAATCATTCTTATGGGAATGTTTAGAAGACAGTGATTCAGGTAAGTTTTAAATTCCCTCATTAACAACACACATCATGTTATTGGTTTGTTCTTATGCATTATTAATTATCATTGCTACAGATACAAGACTGTTAGTTTTTAACAGTCATATCCCAAATTACCTGTGAGTATGCAATACCATGGAGCTGATGTCATATAGTTAGCATTGATGGCTATGGTACAAGGTGTGTCTTAGTAGCAGCAGTCATGGTGATCAGACCTGAGAACTCTTTAATGAGGTAATTTAAAACTGAAACAGACTTGTCTTTTTTAATTTCCATCTTCTCTGGGCTATCCTTAGTGATTTATGCTTTTTACCCCCCTCTCCCCTCCCTAAAAGAAACATCTTGACTGTTCGTTGTACTGCTTGTATTGCTTTTGGTTTTGCTCTTGTCCTTGAGCTTTCAGCATGATGTCTAGGTGTTTGCAATCATAGGTTTGCATGCTGTGTTCTGTATTGCAACTTTTGTTACTTGTATATCTCCCACATGTAACTACACACTTCATTGCTTGCCTTTTTTGTGGTCACATTGCACGCATACTTACATAAAATGCTCATGGACTTTGTCTGGTACAGCAATTTAGTGCTGTGAAACACATAGCATTGGTGGCTGTATTTTAGTTTGTGTATATTTGTTCTTAGCACAAGGTGAATTATATACTGATTAGTGCATTTTTAATTTTTAGTTGTCAGATATATTTCACTACAAAGGAACTCATCAAAATTGAGACTACTCATCTTCCAAATGAGACAAAACAATAGTTGAAGAAAGGGATTCCTCCTTCCCACTATGTCTTCTCAGGATGAGTTCTTCTTATCAATAGTCCAATAGTCCAACAGTCTTCATAGTTTCTTTAAGGCTGTCTAAACTCCACATATTCTTTTCCAGGTCATTGGATCTTTTTTTCTGTTATGTTCAAGACACAATTTCTTAGCTCTGGATTTACTTCCTAATGCAAGAAGGCAAATGAACACTTTCAAGAAGTGGCTGAATGCTGCTACTGTTGTTTTCTTTCCTGGTATCTTAGTCATTACCTTTCAGCCTGTCCTGAACCCCCAGAGATTCCTGAAGCCTAACATGCACAAATACTTTCAGTGGACCTAGAGGGGTTCAGCTAGCCAAAAATGCAGTTTAATAATCAAGTCATGCAAAGTCTGTGCTTCTGTACTTTGCTATCAGCCTCCCTTACACTGTCACAAGGACTTATGCAGTCATGACACCCAAGAACTGACCCGACTGAAACACAGCCCTCAAAAAAAGAGCAAGAAAATTAAAAAAATATATATATTTCTTTTCAGCCAGATCTGATTCAGCTACCTTGCAACCATAGAAACATTAGTGCCCAAAGAGAGCTATCAGGGACTTAAGGAGAAGAAGAAAGAACCACTTCTTAGCAACATAGGTGCTAACCAACTATGAAACAACACAGCTAGTGGTTTTGTAGTCACAGGTGAGACAAAGCACAATCCTATTATCTACCACCCAGCTATTCCTGTTGTAAGAAAATTTGCTGGCAATGAGCATGTAATAAGCCACAAGCAGAGAATAAAACCATACATCACCATATAAAAGACAACTTTTATTACATTCCCAGACCCAAAAGAACTGTAAAGTCAGGTGTAGGGACATCCCAATACATACAGTCAGCTTCATTTTAACAAGGATTGTCAGTTCTGCTTCAATTCCAGCTTTGTAGGGCTCAGACAGCTTCTTGCAGAGCAACTTAGCTCTTCCTCCTAAGTTCCACAGAGTCAGAAGGGCTCATTAGCTGGGACATAAGAAAAATGCACAGACAGCTCTTGCCCATCTTAGTACTGCAACTGACCTAATAAGCTTGCTCAGAATTTGGTGCTCTGGAGACCATGGACAAGCACAGCTAACACTGAACCAGAGCTAATAAGCTGTGCAACTTTGAAACTGATTGTGTGTTTTGATCTGTTTCTGCCATTCTCTTTCATGATCCCCATTCTAGAAACAGTCAAGTGGAATCAGTGGCTTTTACACCTGAGCTAGCTCTGGAACTAATAAACTAATAAGGCATAATAAATGGATAATGTGTTGCAGCTCCTTTATTAAAGAGTGTAAGCACTCATTCCTTCCATTCCTAAATGAATACACATATAGTCAAAATGCTATGAGCTTGTTCGGGTTATACTCTTACTGCTTCTGTGCCCTTCATACTTAGCAGCACTCAGCAGCAGTAACATAGTGCAGGGATACTTGAGCTGGTTCTTCATTGTGAAATTTAGGTAAGGGAGGAATTATAGTAACTACAATTTCTGCAGTCTTCCTTAACCTTTCCCCTACCTACCAGAGTGTTTCTTGCCATGTTCCCTCCACTCTCTCACAGAGGAAGACAGAGAGGCAAATGGGTTAACTGTCAAAAGAAGAAGCATAAGAAGTTTCAAGAGATGGAAATGGGAAACAATACATAACAAAAAAAGAAGCTGAGCTTCCAGATAATTGTATGCAGAGTAAAATTGACATCTGACACAAGAATGAATATGCTAAAAAGAGAGTATTGGACGAATGTAAGAAAGAAGCTAATCCCATATAATGCCAGTATTTCATTTAATGCAAAAAGTCCTGCTAAGGCAATAACACTATTAACAACTATTATTAATTGCGTGCTTAATTTGTATTTTGTCTAAACAAAGTTTTTTTTAGAAACTATACTTGTTGTACATGATCCTTTTTTCTTGGTAGTCAAATTTTTGTTTTTTGTTTTTACTTTGGTTTTCCCTAATATTTCTGATTTCTTTTTAACCATCCTTTTTTTTTTTTTTTTTTTTTTTTTTAATTTTCAGTTGTGGCCATTTTGTCTTTCTTATTTTTTATTCCATGTTTTCCTATACCAATTTCTTTGTTCCACTCTTTCCAGTCACTTCTACTTTTCCTCTGTCACTTCCTTTGTCCTAGTCTTCCTTCCATCTGCTGCTTAGAACTTCCATTCCTATATTGCTTTTCATATTGAAAAATGTTCAGGAATTATTTAGAATTCCTGGAGACAAGGACTTAGCATTACAGATTAAAGAATAAGGTGCTGAAACAGAGAGATCTAAAATTACAGACAATTCACCCTAAAGACAGACACCAAAAGTATGATATCATAGCATTCAGTATGCTATGTGAAACAAAAAATAAATCCTATGTGTGGAACCTTTGAACTGAAAGCAGCAATCTCCCTAAACTAGCCAGTAGGGGAGTTTGTATTTGTTTTCATTCAGTTTGTATATCTTTTAATTCAATAAATCAAAGGAAGTTATATGAAATCAGCTGTATCCTTGCTCATGAGCCAGAGGAACATCCAGACTCCTTAAAGTGCAAATATTCTATCTGAGGATGTGTCCTCTTATACACTCATTGTTTGTCATCACAGAAGCCACCTGACGTGCACTAGACTGTATTCAGTCTTACTATCCAGTTAACATAGTTTCAGGAGTGAAATTCAGAGACTTGTGGTGTAATATACACACTCATACCCCAATTAGCTGGATTGTCTGTGCAAAAGATGTGGACGGGCTTAAACTTTTTATTCAAACGTATCAGTGGCATTCTGGTGACCTGGTAGTCCTATCAGCAAATCTTCCCACTGCTCTCTACGGTTTTAAGTCAGGCCTTACATGAGTCAGTCTACCAAATGTACACAAAAAGGCTAGACAGAAAATGCTTATTCTCCTTAATTGCAAGTGTAGGAAAAAGAAATCTGGTATCTGAGAGTTCTATCTAGGAGGCAAAAGCAGAGCCAAATTCTGTGGTCAGCTGTTACTACTGAACTTGCTTGCCCTTGACAAATCTTAGTCAAACTTTGGAATTTATTCTATCAGCAGGTGGAAGCCATTATCAGGGGATGTGCACACAGAACCACTTACTGAATAAGGGTATGAAGACCTAATGTAACAGGAAGACTGACACTAGATTGCACCATCTGAGCTCTGACTTCTGGGGTGACAGAAAATATCACTGAACGGGAACATACCTAGGTCCAAAACTCAGTGAACCCCTAGAGAACCATTAAATTCAGAAAGATGCTTTTCTTCTTGAAACAACTCATAGAAAGCATCAAGCCATGCCCTGAAATGGTCCTAGTGGGATATATTGTCCTCCTTTAGGTTATTGTGTACTTCTGATTGCAGATGTCACATAAAGAAGCAAGCCTAACTGAAAATTGTTAAACAGTAAATTCCATGCCATTTTATAAACACTTGACTTTCACATTCTTTTCCTTTTTTCAGTGATAGTAAAACAATTAAGAAGAATAAACACTACGTCAGAAAACAAGTTTTTCACATTTAATATATTTTTAACTATTAAAAAAATAGGAAGTAGAATATATTGGCAACAAAAAATACAGTATGCAGTTTAGATCCCTGAAGCAAGCAACAACAAGCTCAGGAGGGGGTGGGGGGGTGGGGGATGATACCTATAGTAATTAATTTATTCTGCTATGGTCAAGTTAAATAAAGATGTTGGCCAGGCTAAAACTGGCAGTGAGACTTACATGGTGCTTAAGATGATGTACAATAATGCCAGGGTCAATGGTATCTGGAGAAGATGTTAAACTGTGTAAAATGAGCCATGAAAGGACACTGTTAACAGCCTGAAGATGAAGAACATTGCAAATGTTTTCAAGGGCAATGTTGGCAGAGCACTCTCATTTGAAATTAGTGCTACTATCAGGAAATAATAAGTATGGAAGTGAATCCTTAACTGTGTTGTAAAAACTTTTTCCAACACCTCTGTAGGAAAATTAATTAGTTCTGTTTACTCATGAGTCTTTAAATCATTAAATAGATATAGCTGTAACTATAAATCTATAAGGTATTACTCCTATTACAGCAAAATAAAAATTAAGACATTACTGAGTAAAGATAAGACAAAGTTGAGAGCAAATGACAGCATCACATATCAGAAAAACAGGACAAATTCTTCATCCATAAGGTGGCTTAAAAATAAGTATTATAGAGCACAGGAAAACATAGATTTACATTAGAAATGAAAAAAAGTCAAAGGAAATAAAAGTTTTAGCATTGCTGACAGCTTTTTGTGGATGATAAAAACTGCATATGGAATACTATCTCCTAATAGTGACTAGAATAATAAAATCTGGTGTGTATGTTTTAGTTGTCACTATTTACGGCACCATGAAAGATGTTTCCACAAAAATCCCAGTAACTCCTGATATTTTTGCACAGTAGTTTAAAAGATCAAGTAGCTCCATATTAATGACATAATCTCAGACATGTCTTGATTTAAATGGGCTAAATTCTACCTGTTTTTTCTTTGAGTGTTTATGATTAGGAGCTTTCATTGGCTTAGTGCCCTCCCAGTGGAAAGATGAGGAACCAGGGATTTTATCATAATAATCCCTCTGGCCTGACTAGACAGCTCATGACTATCTAATGTCATGAACCTTATCTCAACTGTTCAGGACAGCACTACAACCTGAAAATGGTTCTTTTAACATAGAGAACAATAATTTGGCATAACTGCATCCCCAGCGACATGGTGGAGTCTCATCTCTGAAGATTTTCAAGATATGTTTGGAAAGGTTGTTAGATAATCTCATCTAGGCTCTTTCCCACAACAGGTTGGACCTGATGATCTTCTGAGGTCCTTTCCAAGCAGGTACTCAAATCTGAATTTTTTAAAAACCTTTAATGAAAGGCTGATAGATGCCTTTCAGAAATCAGCTTCCCCAGAGTTAATTGATTCAGACACTAAAAATCACTTGTGACTTTGAAAATCTTAATTATTATGCTTATAATATAAATGCCCAGGAAAAAAGTCATACAGAAATTAATCTACACACATAAGTTTGAAAACTTCAGTCTTTTCTTAGTTACATATTCTAACCTACAATGTTTTGAAGAAAATACGGAGTTCGATTATTATTTTTTCAGAAATAAACCAAATTACTGTTGCTAGAAACAACTATTTAATATCAGTGTCAAAGTGTCCAAATCATAGTCAAAACTCTAGAAAGGTTAGAAAATCATATATAAGACAATTTGTACTAGTAGAACAAAAGTTAATATTTTAAGCATTCATAAACAGGAATCTAAATAGAATATTGTGGTGAGTTGACCTTGGCTGGCTGTCAGACCCCCACCCAGATGCTCTCTCATTCTTTCTCCTCAATGGGGCAGGAAAAGAAAATAAGATGGAAAAACTCAAGTGCTGAGATTAAGACAGGGGGATCACTTACAAGTTACTGACACAGTCAAAACAGGGGGAAAAAAAAAGATTCATACTGCTAATAAAAATAGATTTGTATCATGAGAGACAATGATAAATTAAAATAACACTTTCACTTCATTCAACTCCTTCCCAGGCTCAACTTCACTGACTGCTCTGCTTCCCCCCCACAAATGGTGCACAGGGTTATGGAATGTAGTTATGTAGTAGGGTAGTTATGATGTGTTCATTAGAGTTTTTACCTCCCCTCCTTCCTGCTTATGCTTTTCCTCTGCACAAGCTTGGGCTCTGTACAGTCCACGGTTCCTTCAGTATATATCCACCTGCTCCAGCCTGGGATCCTTCACAGTCTGCAGTGTGAATATTCTCTCCACTGTGCCCCTCTCCTTGGGCTGAAGAGGAATACCTGCTCCAGAGGAGCCCCACCAAATTCTACAGCAAAATACCTGCTTGTCCATGGTCTTCCCCACTGGCTGCAGGGTAATATCTGCTCTGGCACTGGGGCTACTTTCTCCCTCTTCTCTGAACTGTGTGTTTATGGGGTTGTTTCTCTCACATTTGTTTCCTCAGTTGTCACTGCCCGTGAAGAATTTTGCTTTGCACAGGCAGTGAGGATTGTTAAGCATGTTTTCCCAGAGGCTCTGTCATCTTGGCTCCATCATCTGTGTTCCACAGTGGGTCTGTTTTGGAGCCTGCTGGAACCATCTCCAGTATACAGTAGCCCTGGCCCTTTTCTCACAGGGGTCAACCTGAAGCCCCCCTGTGACCAGCCCCTTGCCACCTACACACAACACAAGTGTCCATACTGAACCAAGCATGACTAGGCCTGCCATACACATTTTAACTTAGAGTAGGTAGAAGTCAATACAGAATACATACAGTAAGTTCCTGGACTTTCTCTGAATCCATAATGATTCTGTTATGCTAGTTACAATATCAAGTAACTGTGAGATTAGAACAAGTGTATGTTTTGTCTCTACTAGTATTGTTCTTCATGAGAAAGCCTAATAGCATTTTTGGTGAGTAAAGATTTAGTAACAATCGTTTTAGAAATTTGTTATCTCTGACTCTTTACTGTCAGAATCAATTTACCAATTTTCATGCCTTTTGTCTGTCTTAATAAACTACATTTCAGCTGATATCCTCAATTCTTTGTATCAAGCCAACAGAATAAGGAAA